TATCGCACATCTCGGGGGAAGAAGCTGATGAGATCAAAAACTTCATTGACCACACCAGGATTTGCTTTTGTAAGACTGACAGCGGGTAGGAGGAGACGCTTGCAAAGATCGCGCCAACGTGTTCTGTTCGCTTCGGATCCGTCTTGGATCAAGCTTCCCTTTCCAATGCGTACAAGCTTCGCCAGAAGGCTCGCATCTTGTCCAATCTTGTGACCAGAAAGGTTGAGGAAAGATGAGCAAAGAGCAAAAACATCGTCGACAGATTGACAAATGGGGATGTTGTCGGCCCAATCATCCCAGTAGAATCGGTAATCGGTGCCATCGTTGGTGTCTTCTTTATCTAGTTGAGCCCATCGCAGTACTCGTCTCGAAGGTGGGGGCGTGAGTCCGATCTGGCCCTTCGCATTGTTCTGATCAGAAGTCACCGTGTATTGAGCTCCGGGAAAGTCACCTGTAGATACCGATGGTCGGAACTGGATGTAAACCTTCTTCAAAGAGTGATGGAGTATGCGGTGGATGAACTCGGGCAGCTCAGGATAAGCCTCCATCAACCAAGGGAACTTGCTGATGATGAAAAGGGATTCGGGAATGGCGCCAATGGCGAGGAGACTCTTGAGGAGCAGCACTTTCAGGTCTGATGGGTCTGGCAACTCGTTTTCCATTTTGGCGGTGCCCTTGTCGGATTCTTGGTCTTTACTAGGGGTCGCCACTCGCGGCTCGTCGCGCAAGCGGGAAGGAGGGATTGTGTCGTCCGACAAAGCACCGGCCATCATCAAAGCGTTGATTCCGCCACCTGGTCGGCTAGCCTTCACTCTTTCGGCTTTTTCTGCCATTTTTTCGGTCTTCAGAATCTCCATGGTGTCGTCAGACCGCCAGAGGTGAGCATAAAGGTCACGCAGAGAGATAAAGCCAACTTTGATGAGCAAGGCGGCAAGGTAAATGAGGTTGTCGGGAAGAACGTCGTCTTTGGTTCGAGCGGATGAAGAATAGAATCGCAATTTGAAACCAAGCAGCTGTGCTGCAACCCGGTTGCCCTTCGGGGGTATAGTGCCAGTCTCTTCGAGCCATGATCGTGTGGCATCTTCTTCAAATGATGAACCGTTAATTTCCGAAAGATTGCGTTGCACTTCCACCCCTGGGACCGGTTTGCGGCCGATCTCGAAGAAGGCTTGAAGTCCGATTTCCCTCACTCGATCCCAGAATTGGCTGTCACGCTCCTCATTCGCGCGCATAGTAGCGGATCGTTCCTCGTCGGTTGTGATCCATCCAGTTGACCCTGGAAGTGCCCAATTCGGAATACCGGAGTGACGATAGCCTTGCTCTAGTCTGTGGACGGCTTCTTCCTTCGGCCACCAGGAGCTAACCCTCAGAAGCTTCACGAAGAAACGGTATTGCTTGACAAGAACCGCAGCAAACACATCCAGCGTGACGTCTAGCACACGGCCGACATCCATGTCAAATGCGCCAATCATAGCCTTGACTCTTTCAAATGTATCCATGACCACTTCACTCGACGGCGGCTCATTGTTGCTTGTGGTGAATAGCTCGGTGATAAGTTTCGAGTATCCCTCAGATTCTTCCCGAAGAAGATTGTAGTTGGACTGTCGGTAGAGCAGATTGGTCTGCTTTCGAATTCCCATTCGCGCAAAGGTTTCGCGAACCAGCCCTAGGGACTGCAACAACGGAGTTTCAAGCTGAAGGCGCATTAAAGAAGGATCAATACCTGTCGCAAATACAAGTGGTTTGAGGGCCGCGTTCGAGGGGTCAGCGTCAGTCACGATGGAAAGCGTATCGAGGAACAAGGAGCGCGGATCGATTCCTAGGGTCAAAGGCTTCCCACTATCCATATCCACATCCTGGGACACAGATTCTTCACCGATGATATTTTTGACAGCATTTCCCGCATGCGATGGTGATAGTCGACCGTAGATCGCGGAGTGAATAAGTTCCTGGTAGACAGATGCAAGCCGAGCCAGATCCTGTTCCAGGCGAGCCGCAGTCCCTTCTCCGACTACCTTTTGTTTGCCCGCTGATGCCCATTCCTCAACAGCGCTATCGGTCACATATTCGTAATCATAAGGCGGGGGTGGGAGAGAGGGGTGGGGGGTGACAGTCTCTGAGCTAGCTCGAGACGGCGGGTTGAATTGCGGCTGCGGAGCAGGAGTATTCGGCGCGGGAGAAGGGGTAGGTCTTGACGCGGCCGAATCGCCATTATACGGCACGGGGTCGGCAAGTTCCCTGGGCTGATTTATTGCGGGAGGAGACATCGCGTTCGGTTCTCTGTGCTGCGAATTCGAAAAATTCTGACCATCGTGGGATCCGCGGCGGGAACCAGCCCGGTTGCGGTGCGATTGTCGACGAGATCTGTCGCGTGTGTCATTCTGCTCTCGAGGAGTGGGGGATTGATGTCCAGGATTGGTAGGGTGATGTGCCATATTGAGAGTCCCAGGGCGATGGGGTGAAGGTCGCAGGTCATTGCTCCCTGACTCGCCGGACCATGAGCGATCGATGCGTTTCCGCTTGCCACCATGTCCGTACCCAGGCGCCATGATAGGTAGCCGTGTTAGACACGAGGGGTTACGACGGTGGAACTGGACGCTGAAAGGTTGCAACTCATGCAGTCGTTTCTGTAGGAGCCCGGAAGAATGAATGTAAGCGCCCGCGGCGAATGAAGGGGGATAAGTAAAGAAGGGAAATAATGCGCATATCAAGCGTACCAGCAAAGATATTCCGTTGAGTACAAGGTGGTCGCAGAAGCCAAAGGCGTGTAAGGTGAAGACAGAAGATGCTGATGGTCAAAGCTTCCTCCAGAGGGCTAGACGCCTGAGGCCCCCGCCAAGAGTTCATGTGTGCCTTATTGATTTATTATTGATTACCATTCAAGCTCTTCAATAATGACCTAGCTCTTCAATTAAAGGAACAATAGAAGCTACAATTGATTAAGCCGTTAAATGAGAGTGAATAATTAGCTGAACAGGTGAATAGGTCATTGTTCATATTGCCATATGGGTAAATATTGTAACATTGTTTATATTGAATAAGGCCCGCACGTGGTCTGCATAACTATGTCGGGTTTCTCTTAAGTCTAGCGGATACTTCACCAGCAGATGTTACTGACATTAAACACCTGAATTCTTGGCAGGAGGTCTTAGGCGTCTAACCCTACTAAGAGGTCAAGTGCAGCCGCTAGTAGGCACAAGATTGCCAATTTTCTTATCAAGTCAGTATGGCCGAGTGGTTAAGGCGCTACTTTCGAACGGCTTCTTTTATGATCCTTCCGTCAAGTAGTTCATTCGTGAACCTAGGTTCGAGTCCTAGTGCTGACGATTCTATTTTGCCTCTTTTTCTTCTTTTTGTCGAACTGCGAATATGGCCTAAACAGGAAGCGAGGTTTTTGTTGTGGCCTAGTGTTAAAATGTTCCCCACACCTTTCAAAAACATCGAAGAAAGGAATAACACATCAAAACAACACTGGACTACATTGCAATTTGCATATCCTAATTCAAAGGTCTCAAACATTGTGCTCTTTAATACGTCAATTTCATAGTGTTTTCACGAATTAACATAAGACCGAGTTCACAGCAAGCCAAGAGCCTTAGCCTCTACCTCAACAATCTCAGGAACGAGATCAATCAGCTTAGGCTTCTGAGGTGTCCAGCCAAAGAGCTTGTGTGCACGGATTGAGTTGCCACGGGAGTTAGAGCCCCAGGCATAGGTACCAACAGAAAGTACCTCAGTCGTCTGAGCGCCATCGAGAGACTCAACATCAGGAGAAGGAATAAGCTTCTTATCAAAAGCAGCCTGTGCAACTGCACGCTCGATATCACCCCATACAAAGGATCCATTCTCAGCGAGGTAGTAGCCCTCGTTATTCCAGGTAGCCTTGCCACCTCCCACCGAGGCTGCCTCGCCCAGAGCCAGGTAGACATTGCTCAGATCATGGACATGGACCTGGTGCCAGACGTTCTCGCCTTTTCCAACCAGGAAGCCCCGCTTGCGCTTCAGCACCGCAGCGCCGAGCAGATAGGCTTGGATACTCTTCGTGTTACCAGGGCCACGGCCAAGACCGTAGATGGTAGGTGGGCATACGACTGCGACCTTCACACTGGCCGGGGTCTGCTCACCAACCCCGAGGATGATCTCATCCACGTTACGGTGGAAGGCGTCTGATGGGAGGTTGACTAGCTCACTGACGCCCTCCCAGTCGTTGTACTGCTTAGGCCGCTCAATGCCGTATGTGCCAGCGCGCTGGTCCTCGATTGTCAATATACCAGTGCCAGAGGTGTGAATCAGCCACAATGGACGCTCGGCGGTATGGTGCTGAGCGCCCTTGGCAATGGCCTTAGCTGCGGCAACATGATCGCAATTAGCGAAGTCTGTGTATATGTTATTAGTGACATGATATCCTGATATATAAGTTTGAATAAACGTACGGAAGACAATGTCTGCGTTCTTGACTTCCTCTTCGATCAGCTCGGACGAGTCTAGATCACCGATCACAGTCCGAATCTGCGGGTGTTGGCTGGTGACCTGTTTGGACTTTTCCTCGCTACGGACTAGGGCTGAGAATTGCCAATCAGGATGGGCGTTAGCAATAACAAACAGACCGTCGCCGCCGATGTAGCCAGTTGCGCCAGTCCTGTGAGGACTCGTTAGATTGAGTGCTCGGTTTACACCGGAATGACTTACACGAAAACCTTGGGAGACATGGTGGAATTGGAAAATGAAGAAGAAAAAGATTTCGCAGATAGAAATAAGTGAAGCAAGTATGATCGGAAGTTGAGACGCTTGGAAATCAAATATGGCCCGAGCACCAAGTGGGGGACGATGAGGGGATGTTGTACAGATTGGAAATCAACTCTGTAATTCGTACAAAGTGGCTAATTATAGAGGGACACGTCCATGCCCATTTGGTATATGTAGAGCTTCGATACCCCACATGATGTCAGAATCGCGATTACCTTCGCAATCCTGCAATTTCCAACATCCAAGTACCGAGAATGGCTTCCGGCAGCTGCGCTTGTAATTACATCGGCTACACGGCCTCCACTCCCCCAACCTGCCTGGTAAACTGCCACTGCACAACCTGCCGCAAACAAGCCGGCGCACCCTATCAAACCTGGGCATTCTTTGCGACTGACGATATCCGATGGCATGTCAGTCCCACAGAGCGACAGGCAACCCAGGCCGCTACGCGTACCTTCTGTCCCAAATGCGGTTCGACTCTCAGTATGCTCCTGCATCGTGATCCGAAGAGTATCGGAATCGCTGCGGGGACCCTCGACGAGGAGAAGACAAAGATCCCGCTGCCAAGCCATCATATCTTTCTTAGTGAGAAGGCGTCTTGGTTTGAATTACCTGAGGGGGATGGGACGAAGAAGTGGGATAAGTGGGGGGAATATGAGAAGTTGTAGTATTGATGACTTGATATCATTCGAGAGGCCTCATGTTGGTGCAGGGAACCTAATCACCATGCATTTAGAAAGTCATATAGAACAATTGCAACTATAATCAATTTTGAAAAGGATACTGATTGTGCATAGGAGATAACATAACAGGAGGACACGAAAAGTTATAAGAGGAACAAAGGGGAATCACTAGTTCGTGCCGGGGCTACATGTACAGACTCGTTGCGTCCCAAAATACGATCAGAACGTGCTGGTGGCCAATCTGCTGGCTGCATTTCGCGCATCAAGACGGTCATCGTCTTCCTCCGCAATCGACCCAACCTGACTGGAAGCTCGGTTGCGTCCTTTATTAGAGCTCTCCTCATCATCATCGTCAGGGAGCGAGGGGGCAGTAAAGCTGCCACTCATGCTGCGTCCAATGTTGTCATTGCGGCGAGGAACACCGCTCCACGAATCACCCTTAGGGCCCTGGCTCGAAGCCATGTTTGGCCGGCGCATCGCTGGGTGGGATTCGCGACCCAGCCGGCTAAGACCACCGGAAGCGTCAATGGCACGAATGTCGGGTCGGACACTCTCCAAAGTGGCCAGAGTACGGCGCTCAGCTTCGATCTGGCGGAGAGTGTACTCACGTAGGCTGGATAAAAGATCCTGGGTGGTGCGGTCAAACCAGCGGCGCTTCTCCTGGAGAAGGTTTGACGTGACACGCTGGGTCCGCTTGGTCAAGTAATCTTCATGGTTTTGGGCCTCCTCAAGAGCGTTGATCGCTTCATCTACCTTGTCCGGACGCACCGATGAGCTAACCTTCAAGCGGTCTGCTGCGGCACGTTTGCTCCGTGCACTTTGTTGGGCCTGGAGTAGATCACGCAGAAGAATATGGCGGTTGGTGAGGGTTTCCTTCACAATAAAGGCGTCTGAAGAGTGGTAACTCAACGGTTCGCCGAGAGTGGTAGCCTCCGCGGTGGCCTGAACAGCGTGGTAGTCGCCAACTGTCTGAACAATCTTGCCAAGTTTACGGTAAGCGGCGCCCAAGCCGGGATGAGTCTCCTGTACGCTCATCTGACCGAGCTTCACGCCGAAATCGGCTTCAGCCAATCCAAGCCCTAAAAAATTGTCAGTTTTAATCGGAACAAAATATGCGACCAAAACAGTTTAAAACTCCGATAACGTACCACGACGGGCCTTGACAACTCGGTCGACCTTGTGGCTCGTATCCATTGATGCCAAGTAAAACATCTTCGCAATTGGGCGAGCAGCTTGCAACTCGGGTGTGTCATCTGGAGGCGGCGCAAACTGCTTCAACATCTTTCGTCGCACGCCCGTTGCCGGCTGCTTCATCCGCAGTACGGGGCTATAGCCGAAGTCGCTTTCCACGAAAAGCACAACCTCGTCGTCTTGAATGAGAATTTCATTGCTTAGCACAACATTGAGCCATCTCTGCATCGCCGATTTGATGCGAATCTCATCCTCCTCGGTGCCGGCGCCGGCCGGCGTCACTGGCGATGGCACAGCAGGGACCAGAGCTTCCGGGTTGGCGGAAATTAGATGGTCTGCGAGCTTGACAAATTCGGAATGGGTCCGACGCACATCACGGTACTGGGTCGTGCGGAATTTGGGAATATTGGTCTGATCTCAAAGAAAAATCGGGAATTAGCCATGGCACAGGCGCAAATACTCCCAGGGGCAGACCTACGTGGATGTCGAAACGCAGGATTGGGTCTTTCTTCCCCGTCCTCTCCAGACCAGTGACCTTTCCTTGGATTCTATAGGCGGGAGCGGGGGGCCGTGTGTCTCGTGCTCCGGTCTGAAATTGTGCGAGAGTAGGAGATAGTTGTTGCTGGCTGTTTGAAGGCTGGTGCGCGCTGAATGGCTCCTCGGGATAGTCCGGGTCTCCTAATTGCGCGCTCTGCAGCTGCGCAGAGAGGTCTGGAGATTGGGGTTCTCCATTGTGACTACTACCAACGTCCGCCGATTGCTCCTGGCCGGGTAAAGGGGACGACGGGATGTCATTGCTGGAAGTGGGGAAGGCGCCTCGCTCAACATGCGGTGATCCCCAGGGCGAGGTACCGACAGGATGATCCGGGTCGGTAGAGATGGTAGAGTAGTCCATCTTAGTTGAAGGTCGGCGTAAGGAGTATAATCGCTGACAAGGGGGAGTGGCTGGTCATGGCAGGCGTCAGTATTAAACGGCTGAAGATCGGACCCCCACAGTAATGGTCAGCTTCCAGGCACTCAAAGACCTACCTCGTGCAGCTTCAAACGGAGAGAATAGATGAGACCCGTTGAATTGGCATAACAAAGACAGCAAATAAACAGCAAGGGTATGAGCAAAAGGATCTGAGTAGTTGAGGAGAGGTAGGTAGTGTCGGAGTCAAGTCACGCATTGAGGAATGCGTGCGCCAAGCCTGGCGATCCCCAGTCCGCTTTGTGGTCCGATTTCTTCGCTCTAGAGCTTGATCTTCTATTGTATCAATAACAATATCATACAGCCCAATGCCAATTCCAACCTAATTTTTCATCTTCTGTCCCTTATTACATGAGCGTTTCCCCTTGGAATGGTCGTCGCTCCGTTGTTGCGCTTTCCCTCCGGGGTGCGCTGTATGAGCTCCAATCTATATAAGACACCGAGCAATGGGACGTGGAAAAATGCATATTCCTCCCTCAAGGGTCTTCGGTCAAATTACACACAGCTTCAACGCTTTTCCACGACATCTGCATGCCAGGATGAGACTCTGGACCGGACCCGGAACATCGGCATTATCGCCCATATCGATGCAGGCAAGACTACCACTACCGAACGCATGTTATTCTACAGTGGCTTTACACGGCGCATTGGCGATGTGGATGAAGGCTCAACAGTGACTGATTTCCTTCCCGCCGAGCGTGCACGCGGTATCACTATCCAGTCGGCCGCTATTACCTTCCATTGGCCTCCCGGAGAGGTAAATGGAGCGTCAGGCCCCCAAGCTGGGGCGCAGAATGAGCAAACCCCGCGGTCTACTTACCCGCATACTATCAATTTGATTGATACCCCTGGCCACGCAGACTTTACATTTGAAGTCATGCGATCTCTGCGCATCCTCGACGGCGCCGTCTGCATATTGGATGGTGTTGCCGGTGTCGAAGCGCAGACGGAGAAGGTCTGGAATCAGGCAAGCACCTATCGCATTCCTCGACTCATTTTTGTGAATAAGCTAGATCGCGACGGGGCCGCATTTGGTAGGACGGTGCGAGAAGTCAGCACTCGCTTGGGTGTCTATCCAGCGGTCTGCCAGATACCGTGGTTCCAAGGAGGCAATGGCCCCTTTATAGGGGTAGCAGATGCAATCCATCTCCAAGGACTACGATGGAAGGAAGGCGAGGATGGCCGCAATGTAAAAGTGGCCGACCTTCAGCAATTAGAGGCAGAAGAGCCGGCTCTGGCCGCAGAGCTGCGGCGCGCACGAATTGCATTGGTCGAGCTGCTCAGTGAGCATGATGAAGACATTGTTGAGAAATTCTTTGAGTGTGAAGAAGATCATCTCGCCGTCTCGCCAGCTGATATCATTGAGAGCTTGCGCCGGTGCGTGTTGGACCAGCGGAGTCAAATTGTCCCTCTATTCGCAGGTGCCAGTTTCCGGAACATGGGAGTTCAGCCATTACTAGATTCCATCGTGAATCTTCTCCCAAGTCCGCCCGAAGCTCCCGACCCAGAAGTGAGTATTGGCGGTGTCAAGGGAGGTCTTCGGGACCTGCTGTCCGGAGACTTAATTGTGGAGCAGAGCGAGAAGGCATCCGCGCAACCGAAAGGGAAACAACCGAAGAAAAAGAACTTGGCCTTGCAGACCAGCTCAAAAGATGCGATTAGCAAGCTTCAAAGCTGTGCACTGGCATTCAAAGTGGTCAACGACGCAAAGCGCGGAGTTCTAGTCTACGTACGAGTATATTCTGGCTCGTTGGATCGCAACAGCCTTCTATTCAACACAAACCTGCAGCTCTCCGAGCGTGCCCCACGTCTGCTGAAGATGTACGCCAACGATGCCGTGGAAGTGGACTCGATCGCTGCCGGACACATCGGAGTCGTAGTCGGGCTCAAACACACCCGGACAGGCGATACCCTCGTGTCCTACGCAGGGAACAAAGCTACTCCCCCGGAGCCGCTTACCAGTCTCCAACTCCGACCTATTGCTGTTCCACCACCGGTATTCTTTACCAGCGTTGAGCCGCACAGCCTAAGCGAGGAGAAGCGCATGAAAGAATCGCTCGCACTCCTCCTCCGTGAAGACCCCAGTCTCCACGTCAACATAGACGAAGAGTCAGGCCAGACGCTTCTAAGCGGCATGGGGGAGTTGCATCTCGAAATTGCCCGTGACCGGCTAATCAACGATCTCAAAGCCAAGGCCACAATGGGCCGCATCGAGATCGGCTATCGCGAATCCGTACTTGGTACCTCCAGCCCAATAACCAAGATCTTCGACAAGGAGATCGCCGGACGGAAGGGTAAAGCAGGCTGCACAGCAGTCGTGGAGCCACTGGACGAAGACCTCGAGTCCCAAGAGCTAGACCAAGCCACGCTCCTCGCCGAAACCTACGACGGCAACCAGATCATCATCCGCGCCCCCGGTCTCCAAATTGACCAGTCATCGCGTGGCGAAGAAGAAACTAGCCCATTGCTCCCACCAGGCATGGACCTCGTCGCGTTCCGCACAGCGCTGCAAAACGGAGCCGTGGCGGCGCTCGCCCGGGGGCCTCAATTCACCTTCCCAATGCATAACACCCGCGTCACACTAACTATCAACCCGGCCGCCGACCTCTTCGGCAACGAAACAACCACCTCGGCCCTCTCATCCGCCGCACGCCAAGCCACCGCTGCGGCGTTGAAGGATGTACAGCTCGGCGCGGGGACAGTAATGATGGAGCCGGTGATGGATGTGATTATCAGCATTGACGAGGCGAGTCTCGGCTCCGTCGTGCACGACATTTCCTCCTCACGAGGTGGACATATCATCTCACTTGACGAGGAGGTACCGCTATCAGGCACGGACGCGACTTCTGCGTCTGCACTGGAAGAAGAGGCATTGCCGCCCATTGACCACAGCCGTGTTTACGCGCCGCCTGATCCGTTCGAGACGGCTTCTATTGGCGTGGAGATCCCTGCTGCTGCGACTCGCCCGCGCACAATTGTCGCAAAGGTGCCGCTCAAGGAGATGGTTGGGTATCTCAAGCATTTGCGGAGCTTGACTGCTGGCCGCGGTACTTTTGTCATGAGTGTTGACCGGTTTGAGAAGATGTCTGGTCAGAGACAGAAGGCCGTGCTTGCGGAACTGAGAGGCTGATTCAGTAGAAACTTTCTTGTATATTATCACAATCTCATAGTATCTCATCACTGTACCAATATTATTCTACTTTCTGCCACCCTTTTTCTCACACCTCCCCGATTGACACCATGTCAAGCTAATATGAAGTATTATGGACTATGCATCTGATCTTCCCTTTGCGAAAGAGGGAGATTCTACCAAGATATATGTGTAGTGCAGATAGAGACATAAAGTCATGGCACCATAACAACGGCCCACAAACAAACAGAGAACAGTAAAATAGAGCGCTTATATGCTACCAGTTGTCATCCCATTCATCCTTTCCTTTACCCGTCGCCGAAGCCGTAGTATTCTTACCCTCTCCGGCTTCACCAGACAAACCAGGCGTAGAGTGACCCAACGAGGAGGCAGTGGGGCTCTTGCGCATGGCAGCGGTACCAACAACGTCGGACCGCTGAGACCGTTGAGACCGTTGTGATGCGCTACGGCGATGGCTAGGTGTCTCTTGGTCGCCCATTGAGGCGAAGTCGTCCCAGAAGTCTCGGCGCTCAGGCTCCACGCGATTCCGGCGTCCGTCACCGCGTCCATCCTCTCCTTCGACAAACTTATTGAACTGGTCGGCAGCGCCGCGGACGCCTGTCTGCAGGCCCTGGCCGAGTGTTGCAGCATGGAGGCGGGCCTGGGCCGCGAACTCGGATTCGGCCAGCTGGGTAATTCATGTCAGTAATTGCATCGGAAGAAGCTATAGACACCTATAACTGCTCTCAAGCGAGGTCGTGCAACACACCTGTTTAGCCGTGGGCTGTAGATAAGCATCATTAACCTGTTTTGCGCTCTTGCCAACCGTAGACGTGAACCATCCAAGTCCTTTAGTGATCGTGCCCAACGGGTCTTTTTGAAGATCTTCGAACGGCTGACCACCTCCACCTCCACCTCCACCCCCAACACCCCAACCTCCAAATCCGCCAAAGGGCGAGGTGCGCCGATCACTCGCGGCGGGCGCAGGCATACCACCCCCGAAACCAGTAAACTTCCCACCCTGCGAGGGCGGCAGACTATCGACGCGAGTAGCATTTTCATTCCCCAGCTTCGCAAAGTAAGCCTCGTTCTGCTCCTTCTTGCCTGGCACACCCCGCAAGCTGTCACCGGAGCGGATGGATGAGGCCGCAGGCGATCCAGCCCGGCCGCCAGCGACAGCACCGGCACCAGCGACAGTCGTGCCGGTCAATTTCGAAGTTGTGTTCGAGCGCGAGGGGGCATTATTCTTCTTCTCCTGGCCCTGGACGTACTCGCGGCCGTCGGCTTTGCACGATAAGCGCTCCTTCCATTCCTCGCCCTCGTCGCTATCGTATCGTTCCTTAATCGTGGAGTCTTCGAATGTGCGGCCTTCGGAGACGGTGACTGGGTGTTCATCGTAGAAGGACTTCCAGGGCTCGTTGCCTCCTAGCTCCATGCGTTGGATCTCGGAGTGTTTGAAGGCGTCCATTGTGATCGAACGGACAAATGAGATGTGTACGCCTAGCCCGCGATGTGTGCCGGCGCAGTTAAGGCAGATGAATGTTCCGAACTTCGGGGAGGCCTAGTTGATGTGCCAATGACAAGCAAAGAGTTAGCAGGGTGTGTGGTTTGTGAGGTGTGTATGGGTTGTTGGGGATGATAAAGCTTCTCGAAGACAATATCAGGGCAATAGGCAAGAGGAAGGGATAAAGAATACCCATTGAGGCGATGGGGCACCGCAATCGCAGCACTTGTCATTTCCGTTCGTCTTGGAGATTTGGAGGAGCTGTGGCACATGTTTGTGTCAGTGACCATGGCGCGTTGTGGAATTGACCTGGCACACCTTTGTCCTCGTTTCCGGGTCGACTTCCCACATGCGCGACATAGTGGGTGAATATACAATGCCGACGGTGAGACGTTGAGGGACGCAATCTAAATAATGGTGTGCGCTAGGATGTTGTAGGGTTGACCGAGGCGGCACCGATGTTGAATAATTTACCCCTTTTTCTCGTTTCGATGGAGTTGTGCGGAGACTGAAAGACACTGAAGACACAAAGCTAATGGAACTGGCTCGAGAGAATGAAAATCAACTGGAAAGAATTGAAAGAATACAAATTCTATGTTTTGCCTCTGATCGGCAAGGATCGGACTTCGCGTCATCTCCAAATCGGGCACAACCACTTGTATACTCCGTAGACCGCATGTCTATAGTATAGGTGTACAGGAATTACTCTTAAATCGAATACGCCAGGTGGAGATCGTCATCATTTAGTAAATGTGTGCTAAAGGTACAATACAGAAGGCGAAGAAAAAAAAAAAAAGAAAGTCGTTAAGGACGAAGAGCACATCAGCTAAGATGGCTCCCTCGCATGGTCGGCTGATCCATGTTGTCCGATAAAGTCATGAATCCAACCCCACCAGGGTTCTCCCCATTTCTCCCGCAATCGTTGAGTAGCTAAGATATTCACAATGATCTGTGGTTTGCAGAGCACTATGGTCATATCGATACGATCCTCCGTTGAGTCCCCTTCTGTTTCTCAACCTTAAAGCCAATTAACAAGTACCTCGTTCAGTCGAGTACAATTTATGCGGCACTTAAGCCTCAGTGGTGACGGAAGGAGCAGTGTTCTCCTTGGCAGCAGCAGGAGCGGGAGCATCAGCCGCACCAGCTGCATCAGCATCAGCAGCAGGAGCAGGAGCAGCAGCAGCAGCAGGAGCAGAGGCAGCATCAGAAGCAGGAGCAGCAGTCTCCTCAGTCTCAGCCACAGCGTTAATATCATCATCTTCCTTACCCGGGCTGTCGATGGCGACCTTCACGGCGATGACACGACCATCAATGTCCTTGCCGTTCATCTCGCTGACGGCCTTGGCCTGGAGCTCCTCGGAGGCAAGGTTGACGAAACCGAAGCCACGAGTCTTGCGGCGCTCGTTGCGAGCCTGCAACTTCTTGATCATGAAACGGGGGATAGGACGCAGGGCGACCTTGGCAGAGACGGGCTCGTAGGCGGCGAAGATCTCCTTGAGCTAAATGGAGAAAAGGATGTCAGTCAATGTAACCCCAGACGGAGATCAGACGAAAGGAATAGATATAACCCACCTTGTCCTCGGTCAAGTCGTACGGCAGGTTGGCAACCATGACCTTAGTCTTAGAAGGAATGCCATCCTCGGGAGGACCGCGCTGCTTCTGGGGGCGTGCAGCGCGGGCGTCACCAGCCTTGGAGGCAGTATCCTTATCGTTGGTGGTGTCAGCAAGAGGAGTCTCGCTGGCAGGGGCCTCGGTGGCTTCCTGGCCTTCCTGGGCCTTCGGGAGTGTCAGCATCCATTTCAAAGTGTCGATATGCGTAGATTCAAGCAAGGAAAGATATTTGGCACATACAGCACGGCTACGGCCGGTACGGCCACCACGACCGCGGGCACGGCCACGGGCACGGCCGCGACCAGCAGCACGCTTGCGAGCCTCGGCACCCTCACCACCACTGGCAGCACCTTCCTTGGGCTCGGCGATGTCGGGCTTGCGGGCAAGCTGCACGGACACCTTGCGCTGAAGAATCTCCTTGCCAGAAAGGGCCTCGATAGCAGCAGCAGCTTCAAGGGCGGTGGCGATATCCACAAATGCATAGCCAACGGGACGGTTGGTGCGGGGGTTCACCGGGATCGAGGTGGTCTCACTTTAAGACGAAAGGAGTTAGAAATGGTCCCATAAATGATGGTGCCACGTGATTGAATGTTTGCTCCGGGTGGGATTGATTGTTCGGACGAAAACACTAATTTGGGAAGTACTCACATAGTGTAGGTCTTGAAGAACTCCTTAAGCTCGTCCTCGGTTGTCGCGTATGCGAGATTCCCGATGTAAAGACGACGACCCTCATCTGCACTGGCAGCCGCGGCATCAGCTGCCTGAGTGGAAGGGGTAGCACCGTTGATTTCGGGCTTATCGGTCAGAGTGGTCGCAGCCACGGAGTCAGCAAGTGTATCGACTTCAGACATCTTGAAGGTTGAGATATTAAAGGATGAAAAGAGTCGGGTTGTTTATTTGCCTAAAGCTGAAAGAGACTTGACGGGAGGTGGAGCGGGGGGAAGGAGCAGGGTAGCTTCGTGCCCTAGATACCAATTGAAAAGAGAAGATGGGATTGAAGTTTGGATGAACTGGATCTTGAAGAGAGGAAAGAGGAGGATGGGAGAAGGAGATGGAAATGGGAAAGGAGAGGCGGTGTGGCACTAGCCCAGTGAGAGCTCGAAATGACAACGACAGGTGCAATCGAGGTACTTGCCTCGATGACTGGGGGGGGGCTGTTCACGTAGGTACCCCCCTAGCCCCCTGCCCTACGATACCCCTATTTCCCCCCAACCAGCCCCAATTGTTAGGCGCTGAGCCCCAGAATCTCCTGAGGTCCCGCCTTTAGGCCCTAAACACCAGCCCCGCCTTACCTGAAAGCCTGACTCAGAACAGCTGACCTGATGTCATTCTGGGGACTTTCTAGGGTTTCCCGCCAATCATAATCGGCTCTTGGCTTTCGTCCTTTCTATATTATTCCACTCGATTAGTCCATTTTATTCATCTCATCCTTCGGCTCTGCACGTTATGCACATGTGCAGAATCTAGATGATATGCAGATGTGACAGGTCCTATAAATAATTCAAGATCTTCCAACATTTATCTCCACTTCATGTTCTCCACGGCTTGGCTCGGGTTCATCTTACATTATAGATTGTAGAAGATGGCCGACATGGATATACAATTGTTTACTTTGATATGCAACCAGAATTATTCGGTCATGGATACAAGTATTAGGGCAGGCTACACGGGTGACACGGTGATCTTACACAATATCATAGTCGTCTCACAAGTAATTATCTCTGCTCAAGCCAGCTCCGATCTAGAAACACAATCTAGCCCTTGGGCCTATCTCTGTCGGTTAATTCCTCATCTACCCGAGTTTTAGAAACATTGGCCAACTCAAGGTCATTCCTCATGAACAACTTCGGTCTGGTTTGATCGCATGTAAACTATGCCTCGGTATGCATCTTGAGTTTGGCACTAAGGAATAGGATGTATATTTTAGAATGGCACGGGCCCTTTTCTTCTACAATGTAGCGGTAACCACCAGTGTCACGATGATATATAACATCCAAAGTTGGTCATCTTCAAATAATTACCGATACTCATTTGATCCATATGCACGTACCGTACTGACCAAGTATTTGTTCTGAAAATTGAAGCCGTTGAGTTTATCGCATGCTTGTTTCACTCCGTGCACGTCTCCGTAGACAACGAAAGCTGTTAGTACTGTGCCTTGAGAGAGAAATAGTTTAAAGATAGAGCAGGGCTCATTGTTATGGTCGTTTAAAATCGTTATTTAATGCGTACATCTCTCTAGCCATCTTTGCAGCCATTAAATAATGAATAACCCTAAAATGGTCATGGAATGAATCCTACGGAACAAGTTGTTATGAACTTTAACCCTGTTAATTGCCATCAAAAACATATACAAAGTTGTACAATATGTCGTAACGCACGATATAGATCTACATGGTTCTCTTCTGATGACGTCCGGGTCCCCGGTTATCGCCATCGCCGCATGAAGAGTCTAGACACCTTGAATATCAGGCATAAACTTCATCACCGTAGTCCATTTACATAGGTGGCTCCAATTCAGGACTTACGCAATTGATATCTGACCTTCGACCTTGAAAGAAGATCTCCAGAACGGAAAAAGAAAGATCGTCAATTTAGCGTGATATTGAACTTGTGAACTCCACTGGCTCGTCACTGGAAAGAAAGAAAAAAACAAGATTCGGGAAGAGCTGAGTCAGCCTGGGACGTGAACCGCCCCGAAGATCCAGAACGTCCGGGGACTAACGAGGGACTCGGGAGTCTCAGATCCTTGGTTATCTCATTTTTTCTTTTGGTCTCGGGGGCTACTTTTATTGTATGATCTTGTCCCCAACCTCCTGAATCTTGTTGCAGCAAGATGGATCCTATCGACCCGGTCGAGGACCCCAGGACCTCTAATGGAAATCCTCAGGAGATCCAACCCACAGGGCAACCCACAGAGTCTGGCCCCGTCAGGCCGGGCCTTGGCTCGTTACGCTCTCGGGGCGACTCACGAATGCGACGACCGAGTATTCGCTTGTCTCGCTTCCCATCTCTCGCTTCACTCGACAACGCCAATCAACCGGCGTCTCAATCAGGGAGTCGACCACCATCGTCCTTTGAACCGAGGCCCATCCCGTCCCCTCCCCCCAATGAAGAGGACGAATCATGGCTGGCAAACCGACGACGCAGTAACTCGGAGCCAAATCCAGGACAATGGCCATTCCCCCCTCCCGATGGCCTCTCTCGAGTGGCGACCCCTATGCGGATGTTGCCTCTGACCGAGGAAGCCTCACACCAAAGTCCGGCACCCCCTTCTCCAGCGGCAATATTGCCTGGACGGGCTCGGTCCGACTGTGACCAACCTGACCTGGAGCAAGGCGAGGTCCCTCCCGCCCCAGTGCGACCGGGCCGGCTTAGACGAAGTAGTCAAGCTGCGATGAATCGCTTTAGTCGGAACCGTGCAGCTACAGTGACAGGGACTGCACCAACTCTGAGCACGCAACAGGAGGAGCAACGCCAGGATGAGTATGGATCTCACGTGGTCGATGTGCTGGACGTGATCGGTAAGCATTGATATCAAGTGTAATCCAAGAACCATATTTCTAACTTGTCCGAACCTAGATCCCGAGGTTTCCGCGCTTTCCACTCTCACCAATGTCCAAAACTCTCTCTTCGTGCCGAATCTGGGTAGTTTCGTCAACCGCATGCCCACATATACGATTACACGGCCACAATATTCTTCTTCAGATGATGAACCGGGAACTGCAACGGACGATAATGAACTGTCCGATGACAAGCTTAAGGAGCGGCCGAATTTAGAACAAGTCCATTTCACGAGCATGTCCTCGGTGTTGCCTGGTCCCAAGTATGCCGTTCTTCCAGGAGGGCAGGTTGAAGGATGGAGCAGAGAAGATTATGCTGAACTAAATGATCATGTTCGACACATGCTTCACTCTCGGCGGTCCAAGTTCAAACGGGCCATGAAAGGATTTAGGCAATACATAAAGAAGCGTGAGAGAAGTTCATCGCCAAGACTTTCTTGCTTAATACTAATGTCGCCTAGCCCTCGGCTTTCTTGTGACTCTCTACGCAACTTTGATCACTCTGTTCGGTCTGGCCTGGGTTCTTTTCTTGATTGGTGAGATATTCTGACCTAATACTTTCTATCTACTATGCTGACGGTCACTTCAGGTTGGATCAATCTCGGTGCCAGACAAAGTTATGTTGTCAATATCATCGATAACATTTTAGTTGCCCTGTTCGCCATCATGGGTGACGGACTGGCTCCTTTCCGCGCCGTGGATACATATCACATGAGTTTCATTGCCCATTACACACTCAAGTCGTGGAAACTTCGTCAGAAGCGGGCCCTTCCAAGCCTCAAGGATAAGAACGATCTTCCGTCGAAGCCGGAGACCGACGCCGACCTTGAATTTGGTGAAGCAGTCAAGGAAGAGGAACATGAATTTTCTGTTCTCAGTGCTCATCAACAGTTACGATTGATGCATCACCAGAATAAGTTCGCAAAGTCGCATACTTTCTATAAGCCGCACGAAACTATGACCCACCACGCCTTCCCTCTACGCTTACTCATCGCTATTGTCGTCATCCTCGACTGTCACTCTATACTCCAAATGGCTCTTGGTGCCTGTACCTGGAGTATGGAGGACCCTCATAGGCGCCCATTCGCTCTAACAACGGTTATCCTTTGCTTCTCCATCACTTGTAACATCTCAGGTGGTGTGATGATCATGATCGGTGACCGGCGCACCCGAAAGAAGGATGTTGTCGAACGGCTGTTCCGCCAACAGCTGACCGAAGAAGCCATGAGGAAGATGGAAAAGAAGAGGATCAAGGAGGAACGCCGCAGTCTTCAGATTGAGCGGACCAGTACCCAAATCGAGCGGCCCGGTGCGCAGATTGGCCGTTCCAGTGCTCAGATTGGCCGCTCTAGTGCTCATATCGACCGCTCAGCGCCGCATGGGGGCACCTGATCACAGCAAGTTCTATGTTCTCTCTCACGAACGTCATGAAATGGGCATTAGGAAGGTTTGCCCCACCTGTACAGATCATCAGATGTTAATGATGCTTTTTTTTTATCGTTGGTTTTATACGGAGTTTCATTGTCTCCCGTAGGGATGATATTTGCTTTCTGTGATTTTGTTTTCTGGCCTACGGGGGCGTTTTGCTTTTAGCCGATACAATGCAGTGACTTGTGATTTTGGGTATATAACGTTGATCTTTGAATACAGCTGATCTTTTGAGTACTTGATGCAAAAATTTGTGGCACTTCCAGGTATGCACTCAACGTAGCTATCTTCTCAAACAACGAAAAATATGTGAATCTCACGAAACCAAGAGAAGGCGAAAAGCTCAAGTAGTGATAGTGACCTTCTCCCCAACCCATTTCCCTCCACCACCCCTAACAATCTCCTCAAAAATCCACTCCCCAACCAAACCCCGTGAAATCGTATACCCAATAGCAGGGGCCCTCTCCGTCCCAACCCTCACTTTTTCCAGCCCCACCCCTTCACCCCCCTTCCCCTCACGAACAGTAGGAACCCGATGATCCCCCGTTAAAAGACTGGGCCTCACAACAACAACTCCAGCAGCAAGCACCCCGGCACAGCCCAGTCCAACCTCCTCATCAAGCAAGTTCTCCATCTGCAGCTTATCCGCATGCGGAATCGGCAAGAGCACAGAGTACATAGGTCTAAACCAGAACGGCACATCGGTATTACTACCTGAACTCCCTGTGGTGGAGATCACAGTGACCCGCGGTGCAACGGCACGATACGCCCCGAGCGAGGCAAAACGCTCAGAAGCAATCTGCGCCAGCGCCGTCAGCAGCGCGCGCGTCGACTGTTCTGTGATGTGCGGGTTCGAGAGCTTAATGTGTGGCAGAGCAGGAGTACGGATCTGAGTCTTTGCGCATTTTGTTTCTTTGGTGAAGGAAATTGTCGGTGCGCCGCCCAGGCCGGAGATCACGCTTGTTACGAGAGTACATGCGCCATTGGGTGCGTTGGAGTTTGTGATGAGGGTTTTCTTGATGCTTTCTACGTCCGTTGCGTCGCCTTCGATGATCTCCAGCTGGCGAGAGAGAATATCTTGTGTTATGTCAGGCTGTGAGAGGAGCAGTGTCGTGAGTTTCGAGGGCGTGCGGACTAGCGCTCTGGCGTTGTAACCGTTGAGAAGGGTGTAGGTCAGGCATGCGTTGGTGCAGCCACCGGTTGCTCCGAAAAAGGCAATGGCTGTCATTTCTAGGATTTGATGGTTTGTAGGTTTTGGGATTCAGATTGTGAATTTTAGAGTGGGTTGGAGCTTGGGATTTGCTTGTATTGCAGAGCTCGAAATGGATTGCAATGTTGATGATAGAACCCTAATGATTCAAGCATCCTTATACTAGCGATCGGTATATAATGTCCTCTCGACGGACTCATATTGACCCTTTGATATTTATCCGCCTCCGACTCAACATACATAGTAGCAAAGTGAGGTTAAAGTACGGAATACAGGTAGACCGGTGGCGTACGCTAAGCCGAAAGTGGTTTAGTGGCGGATGAACAACCTCCCGATGCGGATGAACTGCTTCTCCATTGAAGCATTAAGGCTCAATCGTCAATGATCTAATTAAAAAGATATGAGTAGAACTAAGCAATGCATTTTGATCGATGGTTTAGCATGTGGTATTTAAAGAGTTAAATCTGGGCGGGATAATATCTCTGGTTTCGACATTCGTTGGAGATATATATTTATATCGACATTATAGCACACTACAACATATAAGAACCGGAATCATTTCACTCGTTTCCTTAATGAGTCTACGAGTCTGCTTCTTTATGGTGGTACCCTCAAACATTCAAACATTCAAACATTCAAACATTCTCATACAATCTACACACATCGTAGATAGACACCAGACACAACTTCTTGGACGAGGTGACAAGGTACAGTTCGAGCTACTCTCTACTGCTAACCCTATTAGAGTATACAATTCATTCTTCAATCAAATACAATTTGATTAGGATCACCTGGCATCCTATAGCCTGTAATCATCAGACCCGAAAACGTTCGATCTAGACCAAGCCTGATGGAGAGAACATGCTGAAGGCCCATACATTGCAATTCCATACATTGTAATTTCCCGTGATGCTTTGATTTTGCATCGACAAGGGAGAGTGTAGATCAGCGGTTGCCCATCGTAACATCACACGCTATGCCTGGGAGCAGGGTAGAAAATCCGAAGTAACCATGATCGACACGGGTCCGACGATCTCGAATTCCCTGGGACTGAGAGATAGGTAGACGGTGGATCCAAGTATGGGTAAGGGACGGCAATTGAACGGGGTCTCTACTGTGATTTACGCATGATTGCAAAGATACAACAAGGTAGAAAGTGCCGCAAAGACACGCTGCCATAATCATGCCTGGAATGGAAATAAGATGCACCATATCGGACAATTTCTGCCACCAGGACGCCCCCGAACGCCCCCGAACGCCTCCAAGGTATGTTAATCAGCGATAAAGACAATAAATGGTCAAATACTTGCGCATGGGCAGCTTTTGGAACTGTAGGGAATTCATCGGTAGGGGTTGTCCACGCCTTGATCACTTCTAGAAGGACTCTGAATCCGGATCTCTAATTTAATGTACGTGTATGCTCGCTCTCGTTTGATTAGGGGTTCATGTGAGGCTCGCAGGGTTACAAAATATGTAAGCCAGGATTGGACATCCTAGAACTGAATCAGGGCGTAAGGTAACCTTGACAGATACCACTGACAGGGCGGAATGCAGGACCCATGCATCTCCAGGGGCCAAGGGGGAGCATCTCATTGATTGTTAAATTCCGGGAATCGAGGATGAGCCAATGATATTGCTAGGAGGTGGAGATCATCGGGGCAGGCCCGGGACTAAACCCTTGCGTTCTGCATTCCATCCGCAAAAATGGGAGGGTTGTATTTGGCCCTCACCATGAATACTGGGAGATCACCTCGTGCCCAAGCACTGTGAACGGAAGATAAAAGGCGAGCACCAGGTCGTACCAAATTTTTTTTATCCATCAGCTCTCTACTTCTCTACCTCTCTCAACCTTCTATCTTCCAAACCTCCTAAAACCTTTTTATATCTTTAAGATTTTAATCTTTCAATCCTCTACCTTCAAGATGCAGTTCACTCTCTCCGCCGTTGTCCTCGCCCTCGCTGGCTTCTCCGCTGCCATGCCCGCTGAGAACATGAACAATGGTCTCCAGCACCAGAACGGTGGCGCTCCTCGCTTCCCCGTTCCCGACAGCCTGACTGTCCAGCAGGCCCAGTCCAAGTGTGGTGACCAGGCTCAGCTCTCTTGCTGCAACAAGGCCACTTACGCCGGTGACACCACCGACATCAACTCTGGCATCCTCGCCGGCACCCTCTCCAACCTCATCGGTTCCGGCTCTGGTGCTTCCGGCCTTGGTGTCTTCGACCAGTGCTCCAAGCTCGACCTCCAGGGTAAGATTTACTATTCTATACATTTGTCAACTCCCTCACTAACCCGCTCCAGTCCCTGTCCTCATTGGTGTCGGTGTCCAGGATCTCCTCAACCAGCAGTGCAAGCAGAACATTGCCTGCTGCGCCAACTCACCCTCCACTGCCAGCAACGACCTTGTCGGTGCCGGTCTTCCTTGTGTTGCCCTTGGCTCCATTCTCTAAGCGCCTCGCTTTGGAGTCAGTCAGATTTGCACGATGGAAAAGTTACAGGAGCTATGTGGTATACTTTGTTTCCATACTTGTTAGTTCGTTTGTTTGAGATCGTTTCTGTTGTGATGCTTCACAGAGAAGTTCTAATATCTCACCTAATACATACATCATTGACCTTCTTCTCATCTTAAATCGACTTCTAGAGTAACAAAACGATGACCTACTAAGCGATATTGGGCTGCATTAGCATGTTCCAACTACCATCTATAAAATTTCCAGGCCCCACCTATACTGTATACGCAGCACTGACGGCTCTATCTTGTTCCGCGTACTATTTTAAAACTGTGGGTGTGGAGAATGAACACATGCTTACACCTGTAAGCATAAATAAACTCTACGTACAAGAGTCATAAGGCATTAATGCAATATAGTAATAACTAGCCCCACCATTCAACGTATCTCGCAATGACTTCGTTTGTAACTACGTGAAGGGGGGGGGGGGGGGGGGGAGGGGGGTGGAGGGGGGGGGGGGGGGGGGGGTGGAGGGGGGGGGGGG